AGATTTATATTGAGAAAATTAAATCATGTAAAGGCAATTTTAGTTTCTTGGTATAATAAATTCTCCTCTTATTCCACAAAAAATAATAATAATAATAATTGTTCGTTAGATGATCCATTATTTTAATTATGTCCATATTTTCTCGCTCTTTAATTAGTTATTAGAATTCTCAACAATTGGTATAAGAGCAATTCTGATATCTTGTTTATTTTTAACAATTGTTATTAGAGCTGAAGGTTATTTTGGCGGGTTTTTGGGAGGTCCAAATTCGATATTAAAGCTAGGTTTGAACAAGGCCAACTATTCCAGGGATAACAATTATGAAATTTGAGATTCCACTTTTAGATCATAAGAGTAGATTCTCTTTATGGCAGATCAAGATGCTAACGGGTCTTGCTCAATTGGTTCCTAATGTTTTTGTTTGGGTGAATAGAATGCTCGCAACAATGACTATGGAGGTGAAGAAATGCAAGGATCGGAAAACCATATCACAGATACATTTTCATCTTTCTAACAAATTCTTCAAGATGTGATAAATGAAAAAAAGTGTCGTTAGTTTGTGGTAAAAATTGGAGCAGCTTTGTATGATAAAAAGTTTACCAAGTTACACTTAAAGTAGCGGTTGTATTCTCATCACTTGACGGAAGGTGGATTTTTGGAAGATCATTTTTTAGTATTCAAGAAAATTGTCACTGACTTGGAGATGATGGAGGTCAAGTATGTGAAGAGGATTTAAGGCTGATATTCTTATGCTCATTGTCGTTTTCATATGTGAATTTTACCGATTAACGGTTATACTGGTCGGGTTGATGGTTTATTAGCCGGTTCTTTATTTTTCGGTTAATGTATGAGTATCGGACCGAATTAAAGGCTAGTTCACAGGTTTCCTAGTTGGTCCGGTCCAGTTTTTATAACATTGGCATAGATAATTTTTGTTTAGAAGTCCGAAGAGATACGGGATAAAATTTCATCATGGACTGGGAATTTGATTGGGATAAGAATTTTGAAATGGATGAGAAGTGTTTTCGAAAAGATTGGAGCCGATAATGGACACTACGACTTCGGAGTGCTGATGATACAAAAGGATAATAGTCTTGGGATCTCATGATGTTCGATTATAAGCACTGCGATGCTTAGGACCTAATTTGGGATAGGCATCCGGTGCTCGGATAGTAGGCATCCCAATGCAGGCTACGGTGCACCAAGGTGTCGAGTTGGTGCCTTGACGTGAGAGAAAGGTCTCCAATTGATTTTGACTACGACTCGTGTGCTCTACTTCATCCATAACTCTAAGATTTGACTCCTATAAATACTCCGTGAGGTGTAGGATCTTCGTGAGGTATAGGATCTTCATAGGCTCAAGATATCAGTTAGATCATTTTTTTATACATTGGAAACTTGAAAGATAATTGTTTAGATATAGATTGAGAGAATTAAATCTTGTAAAGACAATTTTAGTTTCTTCGTACAATAGATTCTCCTCTTCTTCCACAAAATTCTTATTTATTGTGTGATTCATTATTTTCATATTTCCCATATTTTCTCGTTCTTTAATTATTTGGCCATATTCTCAATGAATTGATATAAGAGCAATTCTGGTATCTTGTTTGTTTTTAACAAAAATGAACTCAAATTTTTATGGAAATTTTTGGAAAGATAATAAACTTACATCATCGACCCAAGCACCAAGATTTTTCAGCCTTCGTTTCTTAGAAGTGGTCACTCTCTTCTTATCTTATGAGGATGCCTCCTCTTAGGAAACATTCTTCCAGTTGAAAAGTGGACTGCATAATGGAATCGAAATGTATTCCATGATGTATTCCAATGAGCGAAGGATGCTGAGGAAAGGGTTGACCAGGCAGAGCTTGATTATGAAATCGTCCCTACACTGAAGCATCATGATTTATTGTATCATGCATGTACTGATTTGAACCGGACCTTATCCAGTAAGAGGACTTTTGGAAGCAAAAGACCGGTTCACATTAGGTATGTGAGGGGGATCACAATACTTGATATTTCTATATGATGGTTCAAAGAGTAAAACCAGATCTCATATCAAGACTATCAAGTTTCAGGCAAGGTAAGTTTTATCTACTTTTGCCGACATTCAGAGTTTGGCTATCTCATTTTACTAGGATTTATTATCTGCTCCTTCATAGCCTTTAGATCCCATCTACCCAGATATCATTCCTAGGCTACTGATGGAGGCAAATAATATGGCTCCAAATTGCCCCCATTTGATTCATGACTTATAGGAAGCAATTTTCAGTATTGATGCTGAAAGTGTTGCTAGCCTGTTCTTCCGGCATTGTTAGTATATTATACAGGATGGTGTGTATGGGAGAGTTATTGATTTCTTTGAAAGTGGTCACTTGCCTCGTGATTTCGCTGCTACCTGTTTTGTCTTGCCCTCGAAGAGGAAGAATGCCTT